ATATCATTCTTCTAGGGAAGGATGGAATAATCGTGGGGTACCCTGAACGGGTGAGAGATCCTGGAAAAGGGAGTCTTCTGGTTGCTGGATCTCCGGCATAAGCTTTCTGCAGCGCAGAGGCACACTGCTTTAGATAAAGAGCCTTTAATAAAAAGACTTATTTCCCCCTTAACCAGTATACCTTCTTTGCTAGAAGGAATGCAGCGATGCATCTCTCCTTGGTGTAATCGTCGAAGACCAAAAGCGTGGCCTCATTTAAGACCGCGATAATTGTCTTGGGACCTTCAAAGATCCCACGCCATGAAGTCGACACTGAGCGCAGTAATACTTGAAAGAACTAGTGAGTCATGGTGTGATTTTTATACATTCACAGCCTGACATCCGCCATGTTGCCAGCTGGACGACTCGGAAGTGACTCCCCTCCAAAGTCCGTATCCCAGATCAAAGACTATTGCGCTAAGCCAATGTCGACAACAACTCTTATAAATTTGGGGGAACTTGTCCAACCATGGGGGAGCGTCTCGGTGACTAACCCGAGATATTGATGCTACCGTTAACACGGGACATCGACCAGGGTTGACCTGTCCATATCGCTTTCCCAACCGGACAGGTTGCCCTTGGACACACCTTAACCTACTCACTCTAACTTTCAAAGTTTTCGCTCAGGTGCGCATACAGTCTTATAGACTACACCAATACAGAGGATTCGAGAGAGGAGCGATAAAACCAAAGTGCTCCAGCCAGAACCATGTTTCAGCCATAGCACTCTACAGTAGATTGAAAATCTTAAAAAAGCACTGAGTTGATCGAGACCAAAGTCTACAGGACACCACATCGAACCTAACTCGCACTGCGCTAACGCCCCGCTACTATACTAGAATATATAAAGGAAGGCCTTAGCCGGACCAATGGTTCGTAGACTCGGAGTCAAATTCTTGGGTCCTAAGCCCCCTATGCCTAGGTGGCGACTCTAAACCCCTTTTTCTCCTACTTGGTTGCTTAGGCGGCCAAAGTAGTGATGATGTGGCAAGCGGTGCAAAAATGCGGGCACTGCAGCTGGCGACTCCACTGGGGAATAGAAGCCAAAAACATAGATTTTAGGCTTCTAAATGGCTTGACTTGAAACCAACAATCCTATGTAAATTGTTTCCTTTGTGATAATGTTAATATATAGAAACTTAGGGTTCACTTATTTTCAATAAGCACACACCACCTCACTACACCTAAGCATTGCATGCATTTGCATCTTGCATATCATGGATTGTCCCCAAATAGGAAAACCCGGTGGGAAGTATTGGTTGGTACGGTCCAGGGGGCCGAGTCATACCATCCCCAAAAACCCACCACCTGCTGTCAAGTACTCCTCTTAGGAGGGTATACCAAAGTGGGGGTGCATAATAACGCTTGACCAGTCCGACGTCCTAGGGATGAAGGTCTGGGAGGTTTTTTTTAAGCCCTCATTGCAGTGGAAACCTTTAATAACTCATAATTGAGACTTTCATCTCCCTTTTCCATAATAGAGCTATGCCTCCTTTCCTGCCTTCAGCATCTACAAAAAATCCCTGAACCAAGCCAGTACCTACTTTACTAGTCAATGACAGATGCGCTGACCAGACTGCGCTACACCTTGTCTTACCCACTCACTAGCTCTTCGTCGTTCGCCTCACCTCACTGCCGATCGCCGCGCTCCTTATCTACGCTAAATGTCCCTACCCTACTTTCTTTTTCGCGAAGAGCGACCGATCGAACCAACGCCTTCCTTATCAAACATACTCTCAAGACTCTAGCGGGCAGCAGCCGTACATGATACCCGAAAGTTTTCACCCGCCTGCGGCGAAGGCCTGGTCAATCGTATACGATCATCAAAATCGGAGTCGCTAACACCCATTTTTAGTTGCCTCGTCCTTAGCTTAGAGTCAAGCTGGATCTTCATTTTACGAGAAATGAAATCTGCCTGCTGATTGTTCAAGTGGGCAGCGAGCGAAGGGAAAGGGAAGAAGTCAGTGCTTTTCCTGTAAACGACTCAGCGCTTTGAAAGCCTGAACGTGGGTAGCATTGGATTAGTGAGCGGTGTGACTTTCTTCTTAGATAGAAAAGCTATTCCATTTACGTTGCTCTTGTTCACAAATCAATTTCTAGTGGACTTGGCTAGTGAAGCACAACCATTCATCTTTCCATAGATAGTGCTACCCTAGAGTAAGATGAGCGACCCCAGTGGCAACGTTAGTCCCAAGGGTTTACTCCCTTCACTAGTCAACGAAGTGCATCTACGGATGTAGGCATATTTTAGCTTGATCATTTGCTCTCACTAGACCGCCCTAGAGTACGATACTGGTTCGTCATAGGTCCGAAGGGCTGTCTCTTGTGTGCGATGGTTGGGCATGAATGGAGCTTGCTCGGTAGAAAGGAGAGTAACCTTTCGTGGAGTAGAGATTGAGCATAGAAATACCTGTGGATAAATTCTTTATTACATAAATAAAGTTACCGGACTGACCGAAATGACTGGAATGACTAAACCTCTCAAGTTACGCTTCCTATAGACATCCGTCTTCCTCTTATTTTTTTGCGCTAGGAGCAGTATGCAGTTAAGGATATCAGCTAGTTGGTTGTTTGGCTCCTCGATCCGGACTGGAATATATGGCTCTTCGATTAGGACTTTCAGTAGCTTTTTGGGACCAAAGAGCAGGGGTAAAGACTGCCCAATGGGCTCATTGCTAGTGAATGTAGGAAGGAATGCTAGTTTGAGTTTGGTTGGTGGAGATGGATCCCGGGGAACTTATTAACATTAATCCCATCCCTGGAACTCAATCTGAGTGGTTCCCCTCAATAAGGACGAAAAGTAGCATCAGCGGATGAAAGAGTGACTCTTGCGGGGACAGGGATAAATGTCTAAGAAGATGCCATAGAAGCAGAACCGGTCTTAGATGGTTGACGGATAGGTTTTTGCTTTTTGCCTGGCTGGGCATAGTCAGAGCTAGCAATAACTGTCATACTACTTCCCTCAGAGAAGGAAATTGGCTTATCGGATGCTCTTGTTCCAGCAATGTCCAATTCTGCCCTCAACCCAGAAAGTCTTATTGCAGCGCCATTCTATTCCGTAAGTTCTTCCATCCACCTCCGACTGAGGAATCAAGCACCTTCGAACCGCAAGGGTAGGGATATTCTTCGAATCTTGAAAGAATGAATAAAGAAAGAAGAGTTTTTGCTTCCTGCTGCTCTCATTGCTGCTTGAAACCGAAGTCTTACTCTTACAGGCGGGGAGAGGGAAGAATTTCGTTCTAGTGGCCCATCTGGCTTTTTGCCCCTGATTTTGCTCGTCCATGATTCTGACTTGGAGTCTAGTCCGGTAGGGATGACGAGGACGAGGATCCTTCGGAGCTATGTTTAGTGGTGAATCAGAGCTGGTAGGAAGCCCTCGTAAGGGGAGATATATGGCTAAAGAATCAACATCACAACGGGGCAGGGAGGGGGATTGATAGTGTCAATATAGGGCACATCCGCTATCTGTCCTAAAAAGGGCTATAGAAGGCCACTCTTTAGGCATTAAAACACCAGTTTCATGGGGATCAGCTATCACCCTATGTCCTATAAAATCCCATTGGTCTCTGAAGTTAGCTCTAAGATAAGAGAGAAAGTTCTGCTACGCACCTCGCCGGCGGATCTAATTTCTCCCCCTACTGTCGGCAAACCTTGGATGAGGGGTGCTCCTTGAGAGCTATCGGTATACTCTGCCAAGGGCATTCTACTTAAAAGCATAATCTTTCGTCTCCCCGGTCGAAACGAGCATTTATGAACAGGAAGATGCCTTCTATGATGGAGAGGGTATACTACGATTGCATCTATTCACCGAGAGTCCCAATCTATAGAGAGCGGAGCTACTCCTTCTTTAAGAAAAAGAGGTTCCCGAAACCAGGATTTTGAAGCTGAGACATTACATTAGCGGGCGGGCCCGAGACCCTTTGCTTGTAAGGACCTTGCCTTCTTTGGTTTGAAAGCTGTGCCTAGGCTTTCTGCCTTTCCTTTTGATTTTGAACCAGACCCGAGCCCTAGAGTAGAGCTTTGCCTGAGCTGAGCCTTTTGCCTTTAGCCTTTGGCACCTCTGCCTGGACCAATCTCGTCTGGAGCAACCAAAACCAACTCTGTCTGCTCTGCTCGCCTTAAACCAACAAGTCCTATTGCTTCCAATAGCTAGGCAGCTGAGACTGTTCCAATTTCCTACTGAGATAGGCAAGCAACGACTTTTGGTCGACTTAAGCCAACTAGACTTTTTGCTTCGTCTTATGCTTTTGCTATCTGTCTTTCCTCTTTCTGACTTCCGAGTCACTCGCTAGTGTTTTCGCTTTATCCGTGGTGGTCTTTCTCTATTGGTCTTGCCTTATTGCTGCTTGCTGACTTATTGCATTTTTATGTGATAAGGAAAGACGTTGTGCTCGGGCCTCTCTTGGGAGAGTCTCTTCTCTCCACTAGCTTGATGGCACCCAGGGAATTCCCAAGATGTGTTGTTCCTTTATTCATAAAAAAGAAGAAAGAAAGTCTCCTCCATGGACATACTTTTTGAAAAGAGGGAAAGAAAAGAGAAACTAGCTAACGAAGGCGATTGAGAATGCTTTAAGGGATCAACCACACCACTCATAGAAAGATTTCTATTCGGGTAGAGCTCATGGCTAGATCGATCGGTTGAAGAACGCAGCGGGAAATTCAATTGCAGCCCTGCTTGATCGCTAACAGGTCCTCGACCAGATTCCTATCAAAGAAAAGCATTTGACTAGCCAGACGACGAAAGGAACTTCTCTTTCCTTTCTATCAGCTCAGGGGAGATCATCCAATTTCGACTTGACATGTTCATGGGGATGTTCCTTTCTTGACCCGCTGAAAAGAAGGCTGAGGGAGTAAAAGAGAGTAATGACATCGTACCGTACCCTATAAAGGAGAATGTGATTAGCTTGCTTGAACGAATCCGCTCTTTTCAAGCTTGAGTGGGTACGTATTGTGACAGCCACCCAAAATGAAGATATATTTTATGTTCCGGGGATGAAAGAGCAAGAAGCTCAAACGCCTGATAATAGAATGGTATCGAGATCAAGCTTGCATTTAGGAGTTCTCTTTCCTCTTTTCTAGTGCTAAGTGCTTTGATGTCGGTGCAGCCAAACCAATATGAGTTTCATTTTCCCCGTGTTTTGAGATGAAACCCGAAATCCATTCGGAGAAGTCAATTTCAATCTTAACACTCCCAATTCAAAGTGTTAAGATGGCATTTAGTAGGAATCTCTTATTATAGAAGAAGCTGTTCCCAAGTCTTTGCTGTTGATGCTACATAAGCAGTCTTGGTGCTTGGGGCGTTAGGAGTAAAGGCATGGCTTCCGGCGGATGGGATTGAGCTCATTGAATCGACTCTTACTGCTCGAGTAGACGTTCTTCTTGGTGAGTGAATCATCTTCATCCTATAAGAAGATGGCATCAAATGCAAGAGGGAATCCCACTGTGAGGGAGATTGGTCCTAGCTACTTCTTTCATACCCGGAAAGAAAAGATTGCCAAATCGTTCTCTATCGAATCGTAGTCTAGAGCCAAATGAAAAGAATTCCACTTGAGCAAGAAGACGACTCTAAGTATGCTGACCCCGGACTGACTATAGCACCAACAGCTAGCTCGCTGTCACTTGGTATCGGTCCTAATTTGCCCTTCGACGGGAACTCCTACTACTTCTACTTAGTCTACCTACGTCATTCTTTCTTTAATAAGTCAATTTCCCACGGTCGAGCCTAGTAGAGCTCCTAGTCCAACACTAGCAAACATGCTACCGTTAACCACCTAGCTACCACAGAAAGGAAGGGAAACCGAACCACAGAGAAAGTCTGTCACGCGACGAACTGGTAAATCAAAATCACGAGCTGGACTCGGTTCTTATGCTGAAATGCCTTGAACCGCCCGATCAATAGGTGCGGTCGGGATCTTCCTAAAATTCGAGAAAGTCGAAAACTACATCGGCACATGAGGCTGGGCCGGATCCCTATGGTTAGTGTCACAGGCAAGCAAGGCGGGATCTTTCGGACGGAAGTCACTCTAGTAGAGTAGTGAATTAGGTCAAGATCTCCACAGGAAACTCAAAAGTAGAAAAGAACATCTATGAATGGCTTCGCTCCTAGGGCAAAGGCAGAGGTTCTTCGTTCTTCCCGTTGTCGCTGGAGATTGCACTTAGTGCTAGGCTTCCGCTGTCGGTCCGGAAAAAAACGATGAAACTGAACGTACTTTGGTTAGTTATTCTGCTTGTATCGATTTCCGTCTGTCTCTCTGTCCCTGATCCTTTCAAGCATAGATAGATAGTGGAAATTGCGTAAGAGAAGAGAGAAAGGGCCGGTTTACAATTCGCCGGCCTTTAGTGAAAGAAGGACCAACGATGATCCTATCCTAACGAAGAAGGAGGAGTAGGAGCTAGCTTTCATTGAAGTAGGGGCGGAATCGAATGATTACGAGATAGACAATGAGAAAGAGCCAAGAGGGGAGAGCACTTAGACAATTCACTTTGAGTACTGGGAAGTCTGCTGGTAGGAATTCCTCAGGGCGTATTACGGTTTTTCACCGAGGGGGTGGATCGAAACGATTGCAGCGAAGAATTGATCTGAAACGAAGCACTTCGTCTATGGGCATTGTAGAAAGAATCGAATATGACCCTAATCGTTCTTCTCGGATGATCAAGTCTTACCGGGTACTCCGCCTCCGAACCTACTTGTACACACATCGTACTCTGAGATTCTGCATCTATTTCTTGCTTCTGAAGAAGAGCTTTCGCTTTCTTCTTTCATTTTTTTATATTAGATATATTTTTACCGATTTATCGATTTTTTTACTTCATTTATTTGATTTGTGGAATGCGGAGGGTCCTACTTTCGGGAACCAAATGGTTCCATCTGAAGGATCTCGCGGCTCGGACGTAGAAGATTCCTCCTTATCAGGCGCTGCAAAACCCCACTCTGGTGTCGATAAAGCCTCTGGCTCCGGAGAAAAATCAGCTTCTGACGCACTTTTTCTAGCCAAGGGGAAACGACCTTTAGAGGTAAGCCAAGATGCAGTTTGGGAGGATGTCGATCGGGAAAAGCGACAGAAAAAGATTTCAGAAGATTCTGACAGGACAAGTGATTGGGTTACTGACCGTGAAAACAAATTAGGAGATCTAATTAATAATTTGAGGAAAGAAGAGAACATGCGCCCTCTCGCTCCTTTCCGGCTCCAAGAAGTGGTGGAGAGTTTGGAAGGCAAATATTCCACAGAGCGATTGGACGAGATAGTCAAAGATATCGAAGAGAAGGGAAAAGAGAGTTCCTTCTATCAGGAATCAAAAATAGATCGAGATCTTCCTAGGGAGGCTGCATTGAAAGCGGCCTTTAAGGACGTCACGAAAGGTATAGAATGAGGAGGAGTAAAATGTTCATACATTCTGTTTTCATGTTTTACTTGCCGCGGGGGCCACCATTTATATTGCATTGTTGCCTTTCCAAGTAGTATACTGTTATTTTTCAATAATTAAAAGATCCTTGGAACTTAGAGAAGCGGGCAAGTCCCCGAAAATGCCCTTCCTTTTTCGTTGGGGGTCACAATCTTCCTTTTTTGGAGGAGATAAACCGGGAAAGCAGATGCAGACAGAAGTCAGGCTCAGAACTAAGAAGGAAGCAAATCCAAACGAAGTCTCATCGGAAGTTTAAAGAACAAAATCTCAAAGGGAAGGATTACAACTACTAAGAAATATGCCATTTGAAGTGATCGGAAGGTTGGAGTAAGTTTCAGTTTACTAGATTCCAGTTTGACTTTTTTGGGAGGAAAGCGGAGATTCCACTTTGAGGAGGAGAGCAAACAGACGAATCTCTGCATCCCGGACCTTGCCATTAGTACATGAGTAGACTGCTTTTGTTCAAAGTTATCTCCTTCTCACCCCTCAACGTCTCGAAAGAAGAGAGAAGGGCTTGTGCACGAATGCGCTGCTAGAATAGGTTGTTAAGGAAGTCAGTCCGTCCCATCCAACGAATAACACTTATATCTATCTCGCACCCTCTTCCCGCCTTGCCTGGCTTCTTAGCCTATCCTGCCCCTCCAGCAGCTAGTAGTTCCATGAGTCAGGGGTTCCGCCCTTCTTTACGTTTACGTGCCTATATCATTATTTACAGCTCTTATAGGCTTTCGGGAGTTTTATCTTGGACACCCATTTGGGATATTTTTCGACAGCCAAGAATCCTGCATCCTATTATTTCTTGACCTCCTCTTTGATTTTCAACAAGATGTCAGGCTTCATCCGACTTAACTTTTGCTTAATTGGCTTGCATTCTAGTCCCTGATAACCTCTTCACCAGCAATGGCCCCTGGAGTGGATGTGAACCCTCGAATGAGGGAGCTACCCACTCTATGGACGGAGGGATGCCAGTGAAATGGGGGACTAAGAACTTCTAGTGAACTGTACCATTTTTTTGAAGTTTCACTATATGTCAGTTGCCACCATCCAGCGTTAGTAACCCTAATGATTGGATAAACGGATGACACACGTTCAGAGTGAACTAGTAATGTTCCGACTGAGTAGTGTGTTTCCTTCATCACTTAGGATTGTAACTGTCCGATGGCAGAGAGTTTTAGAAGATTCTCGGGTACTAAGATCATTTCTATCAAAGGTGATCTTAATACTCACCGATGGTCTGAATAAGGAGATGTGTATTGCCGCCTACTTGTTCGCCAAACAGGTAATCTATTTGGGTCGAAAGAGCGGATATTTACATCTTGCGCTTTATCTTAAGCAGTGTAATACTTGTCTCATGACTGCCTATGGCGGCGTCAATCGACCTAATGGTTCTTTATCTGTCCCTGTCTCTCTAACACGGTCAGGTTATCCTAGGATTATTCCTTCTTTTCACAGAAAGATGATCCTTCGAAAAGATGACCGCGCTGATGTATTAGTGCGTCTTTATTGTTCTTTCTTCAGTTTAGCCTAAATTATAGTATTGGTTAAGCGTGCAGATAAGAAGCTTTTTGAGCCAATCATCAGTCCGGTTAAGGATATGGATAGGGTCCGTGGTCGTGTAAGTCAAGTGAAATGTGACTTAGTTAAGATCATGGACCGTTATCTACCCTGGCTGTCCACCATACCCCTTGAACAAGGGTGTGTGTGGGCTCCGACTTGGAAGGCGTTACCAACTGAGAAGATTGTAACGTCTGTCCTTGTTAACCGTAAGAAAATGGCTTATGAAAAGGTTAAGGCCATAAAATCATCTTTTCTAGCCTTTCCTTATGAGTTAGCGTCATGGACCTTCCTAGTAAGGAATATCCATGCCATGGGGGAACAGTGGTCTCCCGGCATTTTGTGGCCGGTTTACACAAGGTACCCTCGGGGTAAGCTAAATAAGACGATTAGTGGCTTATGCCTTGATTACTTTGAGAAGTATATCGGTCCGGTGCTACCCACTGTTGACCAAATGGGTATTCCGCCTTATACAGGACGACTGGGTCAGAGTTTAGAGGGGGGAGGCAAGAGGAGACTTTTTGCAATAGGGAACTATGTAAACCAACGGTTACTTGCGCCAGTTTATCAAAACAAAAAAAAAGGCTTGCATTCTCATTCTGCTTTAAGAGGCAAGCTGTGGACCACCACGTCTGTGCTGTGTCCAGGCCTGGCATATCTCGATAAGACCATGCGAAGACATCTCGCAATTCTCGAAGTAAGTCGATCCATTTCTGCCGTTCAGCCGCAGAGAGTGAAGTAGCGATCTTGATCTCCTTCCTAGCTTCCTCGCTTTCTAGATTAATCCGTTCAGTTGACTCCTCATGGGGCGGAAGCCCTTTTAAGTAAGGACCTCGAGCCCTATCTGAATGATCATATTGGCTGGGCAACATTTGAATCTGGAGACAAAGCAAAAAGGGAATGAGCAAGCATAGAATCTGATCGAATCAGACCAAGATGAACAGTGGGCCCTATTTTGAGTAAGGGGTGAGAAGGATGCCCTATCTTATCCAAAGATGGTAGCAAGCTCTTCTCTGAATAGGTTCCCAATCCAATGATCATGCCTTCATTCCTTATTAAACACGATATTTATCGAAACCTCTATTATTTACGACTGATTCCGTTCCGCCCTCCCCATGCTGATTGATTTACTTCTTGTTCTAGGACGCTTTCTACTCTTTCTTGTCTGCCCAATGAACTTCCTTCTTCTATATCTTCTTATTTAGGAAGAACGGATTCTTTTATCCATATCCTATTCATGGACCATGCTTAGTTCTATCAAGATCTAGCTCTCCCTCTTCAGAGGCTTCACAGGACAGTCTATGGTCCGTCTTCCTTTCGACCTTATATGGATCCCCTATTATCCAAGCAGTAAGGCCGGCAATGAGAAAATAAAAAAGAAGGGCTCAGTCTTGGGAAAGGTCTTCTTGGCCTGATAGATAGAATGTTTAAGGCCTCTTAGACTTTGCTTAAAGAGGCGGGTCTATCCTATAGTTGAAGGATGTCTTACTTTCTTCCTAAAGTAGCTTCCTACTACGACTCGGACGGAGGAAGACGGATTTCGAGGGGCAGGCTTTCCTGTCCTCCCTTACACGGGGCTCTCTCCCCAAGCAAAGAGAAATGCGGTACCGGCTGCGATCACACGCTGGGCGCAAATCCGAGAATCTTATGCTTCAGCTTAAACGGGGCAAAAGTGGCTATCTGGCACATTAGGGAGGAGGTCTCATCTGAGGAAGGCGGATGATAGGATAGCTCCATTTTATTCAAAGGACTAACGACCCCCTCTTCTAATAGCCAAACCTGTTATCCTTCCCTCTCTTTCTCTCGGGATTCTACATGACACCAACTGCTATGAATATCTCTATTTCAAGACGAATACCTTTTTCTAGGGTTGGTGTGGCTGGCTATGACCTTCTGGGCCTCAGACTGAATGGATAAGAGTTGGCTCCTTTGGTCAGACTATCCCATGCTTTGTCTGGAGGGGCCTCATTTAGGAGCGCTCTTTTCAAAAAACTAGAAATCTCGTAAGAGAAGAAGATAAATCGTTTGAATTCGAGGCGAAACCCCTTTTCCGCCTATGAAAGTTTAAAAAAAGTACCCAAACAAAAGTTCTTTAGTTGGAGTACTTTTTTGCTCTAACCGAAGCTATTGCATCGTTTGCCCCAATGATGGCCTTTCTGATCTCATCCGTATTCCTCTTCCCTTCCTGCTATCTCCTTCGGTCAGATAGTTCTGCTTCCGGTGCCGGAGGAAGGATAGAAGGGTAGTTTCAGAGTTCGAGATGTCTGAGCTTGGAGGTTCCGCTTCTCTAATGTTAGTAACAAGCTGCCCAGACCTTGCCTTGCGTCTTCCTTTGCTGGCTAGATGCGTAAGTGAAGGTTCACGCTTGGGCCCTTGACGAGTACTTTGATTTTAGTTAGACCATAGGCGCTAAAGGGCGGTAAGCCATGAAAGTTCTAGCTAAAGTGCGATATCCGCCGTTCTTTTGCGCTAAAGCAAGAGAAGCCCCCCTTACTTAACATAGGGCGGTAATAGAGGATGCAGCAAAGCAGACTTCGGGCATTAAAACAATATGAGTGAAGTTCCTGTTCTGGAATGAATAAAGAATAAGAATCAAGCCATTGCCAGCCCTTTCCTCATGGAGGGACCAGACGAAGCACGCTGCGCTAGTCGAAACTTTCAGCGGGTGGCATGTGAAACCAACAATCCCATCTGTCCTGTCTAGAGGTCTATGCCCTTTACCACTGCGCTCGACAACTGGGCTTTCGGCAGCTTTTTTTAGTGAAAGCGGGTTATTAAACTCCTAAATTCAGGCAGTGAGCTCGGTTCAGAAACTTGCCTGCATGAATGAATCTTTCGAGACTGCACGGTGCTTTCTAAACCGTCTAAGAAGTGTCTTATGAAGTTAGCGACTATGCTTTCGTTTTCGGGATTGGATTAAAAAAGAAAGTCCGCTCTCGTCGCTGTCACTAATTTCTTTTTTAGTAAATAGGGCCTCCTTTCTCGGCCAGTTCGTACTTCGAAACTATTTATGAGAAATCCTGTCCCTTAGGTTATTCGATTGGAGTTTATCGATCTGGTAAAAAAAAAGCCTTTTTGTCTTAGTTTCGAAGTCTGACTTTCTTTCTGGGTATGAGCACCTGGTCTTAATTGTGAACGAATAATCCGAGCAATATATGTCCCCGGTCAGGAAAGAAATTTCTTTTCATCAGTATCCAGGGCGGAGGGTGTTTTAGGTGAAAGGTGAATCGGCCCAGAACTCTTTCTATTTGGACTAAGGGGCTCGGTTGGATTTCAAAGCAGCTGCTCTCCTACGAAGTATAGGGCACTCGTTCTTGTCAATGGTCACAGCTCGTGCAGTAAGTAGAAAAGCGTGGTTTGGCAGGAAGTGCAGTAGGTGAAGAAGTCCCAGCACGAGAGGTAGCAGCACACAGTGTCATTGTTGGGCAAAGCAGGACTAAGGGAATGCTTGCCTGTCTCTTCAGCCATAAGTTGTTCTGATAAGACGGAGGAAGAGGATTTCGATACAAGAGCGAACATTCTTTCGATTGCATGTGTTAAGCAAAGCACGCACAATTGAACAAAAGAAAGAAGATCAAAGAGCTCTCCTCAATAGTCAGATAGGATCGTAGGCGTACGGTGACCGGCTTCGCGAGACCTTATCGGTCTACTCAAGGCGTTGCTCTATTGGGCGCAGCTTTCTTGATCTAGCTTTCTGACTAACTGAATAGGCTCTTGTCAATTCTTTCTTCTCTTAATAAAATTCGAGTTTGTGAGATTGATCACTCCTAAATGCAGCCGTGATCTTCTATACGATAAATCGCCATCTCGTAGCACCACAGCCTGGGAAACCTCTTATCCTCTACCTTACCTCGAAAAAAAAATCTATTGGTGGATTATTGTCTCAGGAGGTAGATGGAGTGGAATAGGGCTACTCCACCTGACTCACGGTCGCTCCACGGGAAACCACCACTAGGAGACGAAGCAAGCCGAGGGTTTCGAGGCAGATATCGCCATGACACGGTAGTAGGGAAACCGGTCCTTGTAAGCAGCACTAGAGAGGGGATAGAGACTCGAGACTTCAAACTAATGTCCTTCTTCCTCTGAGCCAGGTTCCTTGTAGAGTCTATCTACTAGAGACATTAACGGTGCTCACCCGGTTGGGAAAATTCAATACTCGAATTGAACTATTAGTTATTTCTTTTTTATTTTATTTCCATCTACACTTTTTTTGTATCTATGTGTATTAGATATGTAGTGCCAATTCAACACAAGTTTTTCTTTTTTTTTTAAAAAAACATTGGGTGGCTAAGAAAGACATGAATTGAGATTGGGAATGCTCTTCCAGCTGATAAACGAGATCTTGGCGCCCTTACATACAGTGGGTAATCGAATTTGAGTCTCATTTTGACTTCCATCCACTGCAAGAGAACTTCCTGTAAGAGTGGTTAATATAGTGCTAGCGAGTCTTTCATAATGGGATTTGTAGCAGTAGTTGATAGCCCAGTCCGGGGATAATAAACATAGTATACGTCCCCCAGTGCATTTCGTAGACTGACTAGGACCTTCCCTTGATCTGAAGGGCTATTCTTATCAGTGCTTCCCCATTTATTTTATAAGGCGAAAGCTCTTTAGAAAAGGAGGTTAAATGAAATCCTTGAGTCT